GCAATTTGAAGTGAGTAACTTATAATTACAGCTAAGCTATTAGAGCTACTGACTACTAATGCTTTAACCCGCGCCCCGCTGGGGGGGGGGGGACAGAATCTGCCCCCCTCCCGTTTTTCGCCAATAACTTCTAAACGCGTTACGCCAGGGACGTCAAACTTTCAGTACCTTATCATACATCAATTTAACACGTTTCCTGAAAAATTGAGCGAAATGAGCGAAATCCGTCCGAAATTTTTGAGAAACTGGCGTTTAAGTGACGTCATGTCCGCCATTTTCGCCTAAAAAACGGCAAAATTTCAAACGCCGTTAACATCTTCATTTTTAAAGGAATCAAGAAGTAACCAAAAAGTTTAGACGTGATTCTACTTTGTTTATCAAATGGCTATCTCGGTTTTTGAAAATTTTGGATTTTGGCCCATTTTTTCTAAAAAAAACTGTTTTTGGGGGGGGGGAAATAATTATAAAATCCAAAATTTTGAGTGTATCGAAAAAAGGAATATATGTCAGAGAAGTGGTCTACATATGTGCACCTACATACCAATTTTTAGAAGAATCGGTTCAAAAATGTGGGAGTTATTCAAAATCTTATGACGTCACGACGAACATTTTTTTTTTTAAAATACATTTTGGAAGTTCTAGACCTCGTACGGAAACAAAAATAGCACCATTCGATTCGCCGTGAAAACCTGCATCCGGCGACTTTGGAAGCCGGAGCTGGAGTCGGAGTCTGGGTCACCGAAAATCAATTGATACCGCAGCGTATCCGGACAAATCTTTGCATGGCATTTCTTCGTCGCGCAATTCTTCGTCCGCAAAACTTCGTCCCATCATTTCTTCGTCCGCGCATTTCTTCGTCTCCGCCTTTCTTCGTCTTGCATTTCTTCGTCTCGCATTTCTTCGTCTCGCATTTCTTCGTCCGAGCATTTCTTCGTCTCCGCATTTCTTCGTCCGCGCATTTCTTTGTCTCGCATTTCTTCGTTTCGCATTTCGTCGTCTCGCATTTCTTCGTCTCGCATTTCTTCGTCTCGCATTTCTTCGTCTCGCATTTCTTCGCCTCGCATGTCTTCGTCTTGCATGTCTTCGTCTTGCTCTTGCATGTCTTCGTCTTGCATGTCTTCGTCTTGCATGTCTTCGTCTCGCATTTCTTCGTCTCGCATTTCTTCGTCTCCGTATTTTTTCGTCTCGCATTTCTTCGTCCGCACATTTCTTCGTTTCCGCATTTCTTCGTCTCGCATTTTTTTCGCAAATCTTCGTCCGCAAATTGACAGTGCAGCCTGCTGATTGGGCTATTGCCTATTTCATCTTCGTAGCGGACAAGCCATGGCTAGCTCACACATGACGTCACTCGGGGCATTGATTCAAACCACTGAACCTACACCAGGGTTACGGAGTCAGAGTCGGAGTCCGTTGGGGTCCGACAAATAGGGTAGTCGGAGTCGGTTGGAAACGACAGTTCTGGCCGTAGTCGGAGTCGGAGTCGATATTGGAAGCCGGAGCTGGATTCGGAGTCTGATTCACCGAAAATCTCTTGACTCTGCAGTGTTGGTTCCTATTGCAGAGTCAAGAGATGGTGGTATACCACCAGTGACGTCAAAACAATTTCTGTAATAATTTAGTGTTTTTTGATATTATCATGTGGAGTTTTTGAACCCTATGGGTGTCATTTCACTCAGTTCAGCGTTTTCGTAATCCGTGACTCGCTTATTAGGTGTAATTTGACCCTCAGTGGTGCCATAATATTCCGGTGTCATTTGAACCCAATGGGGCTGAAATGACACCGGAATATTATGACACTACCGAAGGTCAAATTACACTCAATAAGTCATTTGAACGGAATATTATGACACCACTGAGGATCAAATTACACCTAATAAGGGAGTCACGGATTGCGAAAACGCTCAACTGTGTGAAATGACACCTATAGGATATAAAAACTCCTCACGATAGCGTCAAAAACGCTTAGATGTGTTATTTTACACTGACACCGTGCAGGATCTTTTGACACGACACCTAAAATGGGAGTCAAAATTTTGGGAGTCAAATGACCCTTGGGTATGTGATTCTGACCGAGATCAATTTACACTAAAAAACGGTGTATGGACACTGTTTTTCAGAATCGGATTACACCATGGGTGTCAGTTGATTCCCAAATAGGGGATCGTGATTCCCGGGGGGAGTAATTATATAAGAATCTAAATGGTTTCACTTGGTAGTTTCGGAAGAAAAGGCGTTGCCAATCGTCCCGTGATGAATATTGCAGAGGTTTTAAAGATGCACCCTAACAATTGTACTTTCGCCCCCACTTGAAACCGCCAAACAATGTGCCAATATATCATTGGTGCAAAAAAAAGTTAAAAAAATTGCTGTAATTCAAAACTGTATGAGACAACGCCATCTAGTTGTGCCAGTAGATCCAACTCCTTCAGGGCAGGTTATGTAAAGGTTCGCCATCCACGGATACGCGTTTACGATATCTCGAGTAGTTCCAACTCTTTCAGTGAGGGCTATGCCAATGACTCGACACCCGCGGGGACAATATCCGGTGCTGAGTAGCTACCTTACTGCAGACTGTGGGTACGGTGCATATTTACGAGTAATAAGGCAGGCAAGTCTGCTTACTAGTGATGTCAATCGGTTACCGAAAATTTCGGTTACCGAAAAGATATGCTGACCGATTCGGTAATCGGTCGGTCAGGCCCCCCAAAAATCGGACACTTTCGGTCACCCTGCCAGTGAAACTATTTTCAAAAAAGAGAAAGTATTCCATTTTTGCCTAGTTAAAATGAAATTTATTGGGATGTTAATGATAAAGAGTTGCAAAATTTCCCCCAAAAGCTACAAGAGATGCCACATTTTGGCAACTTCAGTACCCATCCTGATCCCACCCAGCAGGCAGCAGCCACCCATTGTGCAACCACAACTACAAGCAGGCTGATTTTGACTCAGTTGGCCCCACAAATACACACATTTTTGAAACTCAATTCCAGTCTAACTGTTAAGATATCACCTGTAATCAAAGAAGTATTGCATACAAAAACCATTATACAGTGATCAAAAATGCAAGGACAAAAAGAACTTGAATTACTGAAATGTGTTTCTGAAGACTGGACAGTTAGCACTAAGCACTTAGCAGTGATCACATTTCAATTTACATTTCACAGGTGTTCTACTATTCCACATTCTCCTTAAATATTGCAGGTACCAACCAAATGTTTGAAATCTAGATGACCACAACATAAAAACATAGGAATCTTGATAAAAACTAGAGGGCCATGTCCGCTTTCTGGAATCTTCCACATCATCTCCAAACACAAGGGATTTTGAAACAGATGCGCCATAACAGCGACTTTAAACCAGCTGATTAAGTTGCTGCAAAAAAGGTTTTGGATTGTTACATGCTGCCTCGTGAATGATTTTATTGATGTAAATGGTCCAACACGATTTTGATTTGAAGTCTAATGAAATCAACATTGTAAGTGTAATTCACTACAAGAAAATTAGTTTCACTTCAATAATTCAACCAAAAGGGCATTTAAATAAATATTACGTCATCGTCTTACATCCTTTAGTTAGGGAAGAGAGGATCTTAAAAGTCAATCCTTGGTTCTACTTGGGTTCTACTGGGTTCTACTATTATTTTGCGCCACTTTGCATTAATTTTGTCTGCATATTGTGTTTTCTTGTAAAGATAAGACAAAGTGCCAGTTTAATGAATTTTCATTTCATTTTTGGGACGAAATTCAGGCTCAGAGCTACCTAATACCTGCCTTTTCAGCTGGATTTTCAGTGTCAAATTCTTCGTAGAGTATCTCAGACCACATCTCAAGACTCAAGGCCAGTTTCCAAGCAGTGTTGATGTGTTTTGTGGTGTTTTGATTCTGCCTTTTCTCCTAGGGAATGTTGTCATGAACATACCTATTACCAACCATTGGACTTACTAATTGATCGTGCTTTTGCAACATAATGAGTATTCTTCCTTACATAGACCACAGCAGATTCTTGACAATTCTAATTAACCAAATCTGTGAAATGCTGAGGTCCATGTGTTCCTAGTCTACCCTTAGCAATGTAAATTCTACCACAAAATGTATTTTGCAGTGGCTAGGAATTGACTGAATTTGGACTGAAATGGCATTTCCCATTATTTTCCATCAGAATTTACCAATTATTTTAATTTTGGGGTAGAGTAATAGCAAATAGAATTTCGGTCAAATTTCGGTCAAATTTTGGCTTGGGATGTTATCGGTCGGTATTCAGTTGGAAATTTTTCCCAAATTTTGATTTCGGTCGGTATCGGTCAGACATTTTTTGGAAAATGACACCACTACTGCTTACCCTCTAGGTAGAATCTGGACATGGCGAGTTAATACACATATACCACCCACAGAGCAACGCTTAATTCGCCAGCTTCGGGTAAAATTGTTTTCAGTGCACTAAACGTCTCATGTCTTTTGAACACTGTCGCGCTCACTGTTACGGGTTGTCGGTCATCCCGCCAGACAATTGCAAGAGGGTAGCTTCAGGAGCGGAGACCCCCTGAATGACCGCCTCTGTCGCCGGGAGGTCTGTTCAATTGAGACACTGGTCTCATTGGATTGGCTCAGCCAGTATGGTTCATCAGATAATGTCTCCACATTTTCCCCTTCTATCCTACTACGCTGAAATAACTAGTGTGGAGAAACTGAAAGAGCATAACCCAAGAAAATGTAGAACTTATAAGATTTCAAGTATAAAGGGTTTATTTTGCACAATTAGCACACCGGACCCGGCACCATTCAGGCCGGAGTAAAACAACTAGGCCAAAGGGCTCGTAAATGATCGCTGAGAGCACCGGAGTCACAAGACACGCTGTTCACTCCATCCATCGGATGTTGCAGCCGTGCGCGTACAGGGTGCTCTCTTCATATTCCGCACAGGTCCTTGAATTGAACAAGTTTTGCATGTGAATAGCCATATCGGTCAGAGTCGTCATCTGACCGGTGCTGCGGGTGTCACAGTTCAGTAGTCCTCTAAATCCCGGCGCGGCGGTCGAGGTCGCGGCCCGGCGGGACGGCATTTTCAGACGTCTGGATTACTGCATTGGTGACGCAGAACCGATACGACCAGCTATATAAGCTGCCGATGACGGCTCGGAGGCATCAGTTGATCAAACCCACCATCGACATGAAGACCGTAAGTGAACTGCCAGGCGGCTTTTAATAGTCTGCAGCGTCCCATGCAGATGAGGCTTTTCTGAACAACGTAGCTGATATACCCACAAAGTTTGTGCAACTTAGGCACATCGAGATAGAAACTAAACGACAGCGAATGCGATCTGTTCTTAATTCCAACGTGAAATATCCGAAGATGAACCGTGCAGTGTATACTTTGGAAGACCCACATATACAAACGGATATAAGTCGTGACCATGCTTTGCTATGTTAAATGCTTTCTCTCTAGTTTTAATACACGTTCTTTTCCTGTAAATTTTTGGACTTCTCTGGCTCTTCTCTAACTCCTGTTTTATGATGTCTTTAAATGCTCGCTTGTTTTGCCTCCAGATTCTCCTCCTCTGTCTGGTGGCTGTGGCCGCGGCCGACCAGAGTGCACGGATCGCCAACTTCCAGTACGGCATTGAGGAGGACGGATCATATGCTGCCAAGTAAGTGCAAAACTGCTCGGAGGCTAATTCTTCGTATATGTGTCAGTTTTTTTTGCATACATTATGAATCCATGATTTGAAAGTTACGCGAAAAAACATTTGAAGTCACTTAAAAACGTGTTTTTTTACGCACGTTTCACTTGCTAAAACACGCTCATTTCCCACCAGCTACGAGACAACCAATGGCATCAAGGCTCAGGAGGACGGCATCTCCTACCCCGGCAACATCCCCGAGTCTGGCAACTACGTGAGGAGCGGCTCGTACTCGTACGAATGGGAGGGCGTCACCTACACGGTCACCTGGACGGCCGACGAGAACGGCTTCCACCCGGAGGGTGACCACCTGCCCGACTTCAGCCACACCCGCGAGCACATCGGAGGCGTGGAGGATCATCTGTAACTGATGAACTTGCATACATATGAAATCATCTCCTCAGCATACCTGAATCGTTGGATTCTCGAGTCATTGTAAATCATCTATCTGTTGATGTGATGTCCGTTGTTTCTTTGTGTGTTGTTGTGTCCATCCGTGTTCAATGTACATTTCGTCGTCATGTCCTTTGTTGTCTCGATATGCCAATACACATATACATTTATAGCGATATTTACAAGAAACTGATGCAGGCACAGAACAGACATGATAAGATTATAAAAGGTGTTGTAGCACAATCGGGAATGCTTTTTGGACTCTGATCATGAGTATGCATGGTAGAATTTTGATAAATCATACCATGGCAATGAAACGTCCAAAAGTTGTGCATCATCCGACATAACTACGTCATGAGCATGCATGCAACCCCCTGGAAAAGAGCAGGAGCAGAAAAACAGCTCGGCGGTGCTCCAAGCGCTTTGAGCGCGCCCATAGACACTAATGATAAACGAGTAAAACGAGATGATTTTGTTTGAACCCTTTGAACCTCTGCAAGTCCTCGAAGAGGCCGCTGGACACGTCTTCGTGTTATCAAGGGCGATAAGTATTGTGTGGGAATGCTTAGGGCAGAGGTTTTACGTAATTCTTGTAAAATAACTCTTAGCAGAAGACATAAAGATGACTCGCTTGAATATCGGCAGAAGGCTCTTGAGCACGTTGAAGAGAAACAATTTTCGAAACTTCAGCGAACAAAAATCTCACCACCGCGCCGACTAACAGAATACGGTAGAAAAAGAATGGCATGATATACAGGGGATTACATCGATAATGTCCCAGCGGTCATGCGAAGCAAACATCCTGGTGCAAGGGTAATGGTTCTGTGGGTGGTATTCAAGGGAGGTACACGTTGTGTACCCTATACTTCATCGAGCCGGGATAAATGAGCATCTCTGATAAATACATCTGTACTCTGGCAGACTCACGTGAAGCCATTGGTACAGAGGATCACTGAAGGTCCAGATCAAGTCCAAATTACGTCTGACGAGGGCTCTGTCCTTGGTCGTACTGCAGTGAGGACGACATATTATTGTGTGATGCACCTCCAGCTGAGATGCCGCCTATTTAAATCCGATGAAATTATATACATAAATCGTTTTTTTTTTTAAATAGAAGGCTAATGAACAACTTATCATCAGTAAATACGGGTTTCAGTGCAAGATACGAAGCCGTTGGGTGACCATGGACAAGCAGGAAGCTGCACGTGCGTGCACGTGCTTTTGGGCCCGCATTGAGAAGGTCTTTGACGTGGAGGGTGGTCAAATGGGATGAGGGATAGGTAAAAGGCGACCGATTGATGGCATGTTGCTAAAATAGTGCTTGGAGCTGTATCTTTTTATTCATGACCAAATAAACCGTTTTATATTTAAGTATTCCCGATTATGCTGCCCCACCCTGAAGTCTGAGCACACGTGAAGCAGAGTTTATTACACATTTGCTGATCTTAACCGCAAGATGAGCCTGTAACTATATATAATATTTTATTTAAGCGATTTTCGTATACGCGTATTCAGGTATACGGCCGTCCGGCTCACTGAAAACATCTGAAGTCGTGCAAGAATATAGCTTAGTACACGAGCGTTTCTAAATTTTCATTTTGTGACCGAGACGCAGTCGAGGTCACAAAATGAACATTTAGAAACGCGAGTGTACTAAGCGATTTAGTATATGACTGCGCCACGCGAATTCAAAATTAAAGCGAAAAATCAAGTCTGGAAACAATTTCGGTTTGCATTGTCAGCAAATTTAGGCCTTGGCAGTTACACGTTATTAGAATTAACAGTACTGAGTGATAGACCGTGTTTTGATTTAATTGGCAATTTACTTGATGATGATGAAGATAAAAATGAAACTACGATAGAAACAGCGAGAGAGGAAGCCATTAAGTTCATTGCTAGCACCAAGTCATCCAGGACAAAGGAAATCACTGAACAAGACGTACGTAAATTTAAACACTGAGGCATGCGACACCGTCCAACGGAAGATGGCAAGGACCGTAACTGAAAATGCAGACTTCTCCAGTGATAAGCATCGTCAAGATCACAAAGCCAGTGTAGCCGAGGTCAGCAGCGACGTACAGAGCGGTGCGTCATTCACGGTCACAAGCACGGCGGTTCTCGCGAGCATCAGTCGTGGTGCTGTGGTCGGCACAGAGTTCCACAGCTGTACATTCAACATACACTTCAACATGACGAGCAAGGAGAGCGTATGAGCTACCCTGGAGGGCATGCACACGTCAATGTGATGGACGCACGGCAGACAATACTGCCGAATATGTAATATGTACATGTATTGATGACTGTTTTGTGTCATTGCTAAGTCTGCAATACATGTTGATTGTTCACTGCTGGTATTTAATTGGGTGGCTCTGAAACTGATATTGATTTTGTCCGAACACCAGAGATAGAGAGAAAAACACATTTGAATATACATACATAAATAAACAAGCCATAGAATAGGCAAAAAGAGCCAATAGACAATAAAATAGATGAAAAATGAAATTGCACGGCGTCGACTGTAGGTCATAGGACATTGACCCGTCTGTTTTGTATGGGTCATTGACCCGTTCACTAACTGTTTGTTAGTGCACGGAGTGCACTAACAAACCTGTTAGAAACGCTTTCATCCTCAACACGTGCTCCAATGGAAAAACGATCTTCAGTCATATACTAATTGCCACTGACGACACTGTCAGTCCTATATACTATCTAGGAGCAGCCGAGGAAGATTGCCCGGTACGCACGGCACCATGAGCACCGCGTGAGCTGTGTGCAGCGGTCCTAACTGACTACTTCGAGCCGCTCCGTAGCACACAACACAAAACTTTATACAAACTTTATAGCACACGGTGATCGAGCTGCCAACTATAATCGAAAATTAGAAACACTTCTGAGGATACATACAGGCTTTGTATGGCATCGCCCGTGCAAAAATATATCGAATAGCCCTCTACTCTAATTCATTCATTCATTCATGAGCACTGCGGTTTCTTTTTTCGTGACACTGATTTATTCTTACGGGCTTCGTTAATTTACATTAGCATTATGCATTCCTATGACATCCGTTAAGCCACGGCTTTTCAGCACAAGTGTCATTCCGTATAAGCATTGTCCTTAAGGCTTAACCCTCGCCCGCACATGCCATTTTCCCATCCTAGAACGCACATGGGGGGGGGGGGTGGTTGCCACCCCCCCCCCCCGCGCCGTTTCGTTCCTGTTGGAGATAGAGCTTAGCGGTTAGGACCAAAAAGATTCTTTGGGAAGAGACGAATCCAATGATACCCAGTTTTACCTTCTCAGGTCAGTCATTGACCTTCCAGGTCAGGTCAAACTAAAAAATGTTGCTGTTTTAGGTCACCGTTGGATATCAAGCGCGCTGCTTGTCATATACCGATTACGATGCCGTTTTCTGGTGCCAAGCCAGCTAGAACCTCTTTGTCACACTACCCGACCAGGTTTTTGCTGCTGAGGTCATCTCAGGTCAAGTTAGGTCAAGGTCAATAATATGTGTTTGTATGTCTGTGTGTGTCTGTGTGTATACTGATGTGTGCACCGATTGTTTATGTGTCCATATTACATGAAATCATGATCTGAGAAGCTTTTACCAAAAATGTAGTCAAAAAATTTCAAAAAGTAAATTCAGCTTGCCTAAAACGCAATTATCTTAGATGACCTAGGTTGACCTTGACCCTGACCTTGACCTCTGTACATCGTCGAACAACATGTTTCATGATAGGTGGGAGGTAGGATTGGCATAAAAGGCCGAAATCAAGGTGTTAAAAGCTCACAAGGCCCATAGCCAACGCAAGATGTTGAGAATTGGCCATTTGGGTCATGACATGACCTGAAAAACAAGGTCATATCTCCGAAACCAAAAACCACAGAAACTTTTCAGTGGACATCAAGAAAGGATAGAGGAGCAGCTATACGAAAAATCAGCCTTCTAGCTCTAAAAATGTTGAGTGCAGAGCAGAAAGACTACCTGGGGGGGGGGGTGGCAACCACCCCCCCCCCCCCATGTGCGGGCGAGGGTTAAGATCTAAATGTTAAAATCCTGAAAATAGGCAATACAGCACACTAGCTAAGGACATGCTATTGAAATCCAAGTTACCTTAAAACGTGTCTTAAAATAAGCGGCAGATAAAACTTATTCTACCTGGGTAAGACCAGAGCCACATTCCCACGTGACATTTCAATACGCTCGCTTATTGTCGCACATTTTCTCTGTCGTTCTGCTGGGCAACATTTTTTCCCTTTTTTTATGCAACCCTCAGCTGTGATGAGTGATGACAGTTGTTGACTATTCGTCGTATAGGGTTTCCGGGGCCCATGGTGGCAAATATGGAACTTCGATTGGTTTACGATCGTTACCATAGTCGGGAAGATGGTCTCCTCGCGGGTGGAAGCCATCCTCGTCGGCCGTCCAGTACACTTTGTAGGTGACGCCCTCCCAGTCGTACGAGAAGAAGCCGCTCCTCGCGAACGTTCCAGACTCGGGTTCCGGACCGGGGTAGAAGACTCCCTCTTCCTCAGAAGTTATGCCATTCGATGTTTCAAACCTAAGCAGATAGGAGGAAGGTGTCATGCGTGTTGAAATAGCTACACTTGTTACGAGCGAGCGAGCGCAGCGAGCGAAGCGAGTCTTTTCAATATAACGGAAAAATCTCAGTATGAGCGGCCCGGCCCGGCCCGGCCCAGCCCGGCCCGGCCTGTAACGCTTTTGAGAGGCTTATATCTCAGTAACCGCTGGACCGATTGGCCTGCGGTCTTTTTTGCCGGGTAGCCCCATCCCTTCTACCCCGTAATTGACTACTTTTGATACATCTCAGTGACCGTCGTGGCACGTGCCACGTGAAAAGTCAAGGGTGTTCAAGCTGTTTTGCAAAAGTAGTGATTTTGAGAGGCTCATATCTCAGCAGCCGCTTGGGCGATTGACTTGCGGTAATTTTTATAGGGTAGCTGCATTCTTTCTACCAAAAATAGGATACTCTCGATGCATGTGGGTCACCCCCAGTGCACGTGCAAAATACAACAATAAGAGGTGTCAAATTTGTTCCCGTTTTAATAACTCGGTAATTACTGGGGCGATTTCGCTGAAACTTGGCATACAGGTAGGCACCCACCAGGCAATGCATTCCCATGTGTTGCGGTTAAGGTGCTACTGCACGTGCGCACGTGCAGGGGGCGCTTCCAGATCTCGAGAACGGCTGGGCCGATTGCGCTCAAATTTGGTACACGGTTGGAGACCGGTTAGTAGGGTGCCGTGCAATAGTCATTTTGGACCCCGTTTGCACGTGCGCACGTGCAGAATGCCGCTTCCAGATCTCAGGAACGGCTGGGCCGATCGCGTTCAAATTTGGTACACCGCTAGCGACCGGTTAGAAGGGTGCTTTGCGCAAGCCCGTTGGAAGTACCCTCTCGCCCTTCCGCACGTGCAGGGCTCACTACCTCGCTCGCTCGTTCTTCGCCCAAAAGGCGTTTTACTGGTTATAATGTTCGTCGTTGCACGCATCATGCACAGTATCACATCAATTGTATGACAGTCATACTTGTAACTATAGCTTTTTCAAAAGGTGTTGGGCTCCGGCTCCAAGCACGTTTTTCAACTAAGCACGCGTTTCAGCCAGAGAAACGGGCAAAAAAAACTGAACCTGAGAAACTCTAACGTTGCCTTATTTTAACATGTGAATTATTCCCGATAAATTCCATACGTGCGTTTGGAACTAGACATGAGGACAGTGGTGATGTCATGCTGTGGAACTTGCATTGCAATGTAATGTATAACTATCATGAAAAGAACCGCTGACTCGATTCGGGCCTCAGCGAAAAACGAAGTGAAAAACAAAGTTTAAACAGTGAAAAGCGGTAACAGTGAAAAGCGAAGTTCTCCCAAATTCGTTGGCACTAAATGCCTTCGTACGGACATTGGGTGCCAACTGCCACCAGTGACGTCATCAAAGTGTGCTCATTTTTGAAGACATAATTTCCGTGTATTTACCGAGCACAATTTAAAATCGATCATTTTTACGGTAAGAAATTCTTAAGGCCTGGCTACACTATGCGTTTTCTGCGTGCGTTTTTTGCGGGTTTGCGTTTTTGCGTAATACTGTTCTAGAAAAGAATTTTATAAATAATACAACTTTTACATTAGTTGTGCATTAGCTATGTACAAAAGGTAATGTAACTTTTATCGATATTATAATTTATTAACTAAATTTTAAGATATAAAACATCACAAAAACGTATTAGCCGTTTTCACAACGGGCTATCCGGCAAATGCACCTGATTTGACCAAATCTGCACCTAATTTCTTTTACAGCAAATATCTTCATTTAATGAATTTATTTCAGTGTTTTAATCGATGATGCTCTCTGATAATTTGACAAAGCAGGCATATAAGCAATTAGTGCAACCCTAGCTGATAGCTGCTAAGAGACACACTGAACCTGATTTGACCAAATCTGCACCTGATCTGTTTCAGATGTGCACCAAATGTGTACCAGATGGCCGTCGTGAAAACGGCTATTATCGTTTTTTATTCTAAAACGATATTACGCAAAACCCGCAAAAAACGCACGCAGAAAACGCATAGCCAGGCCATGGATGATATAACACTGGATTGGTGTCTCGCTCTCGTGGAAATTAACATTGGGATCCGCGACATTGGGATCAGGCCTGCCATCTAGCGAGAGAATTATCGTAAGTTAGGAGCAAGCCGAGTGAACGCCATCTCTCAGCATTATGACACACGTGGGTGTGGTGCAGGGTATATTGAATTAGGGGGTAGAACCAAGTTTAGTAGGCATGATCTCAGCAATTACCTTGTTTTATATGGTGGTTTTCATTATCACAATATTATTTTTGATATCATGAAGTTTGTATATCTCGGTTTTACGAAAAATAGTAGGGCAAGAAAGATAAATTTCGCGAAAAATAATTTTAGTTGGAAACATCCATTCTGGTATGCAAAATTCAGTATGAAGCCCAGTATGGTGACCGTCTAGTGTGCTTCCAAGGCTGAGTACCTGATATCAACAGAAGTTGTTTACTATTTTGCCTTACGTTGCTAGGTGGTTGCTAGGGAGCTAAGGATACTCTCTTGCGCGATCATTTGTACTTATTTTTCCTCATTATATCGACATGTTGCTGTTTCTGAGACCTAACTCATGCTAAGAAAAAAAGCAATTTTCTTAAAATGTGTATTTAAGTGCCGTAGCATTAACACAGCTCTGCAATTCTGCTTAAATATCTGCAAAATCCTGACTTCTCGGAAAATTGTTGGTGGTGATGGGGATCGAGCCCGTCGATGAAAAGTAAGTCAATATTCAAAGGCTTCAAAACGTTATTTCTTGTTGTTCTGTGAAATAGCAATGCAAAGACCGATGATAGTGCCAGTGTTGAGCTTTCCAATGAAGCATTGCAATTAGTAGTGAGGTTATTATCACCTAAGATATCTTCCATCAAATATTAGAATTCTGCCATTGTCTTGCTGTAGAACAGGGTTACTTTCAGTCTCTTGGGAACACGATTTGCCGGTCTCAGATCGAAAAACACTTCAAAAAGCGGTAATAGACAATGAAACTTCCCACCTGATATCATCTCGGGTTTTTATATATCCTGTCTAGAATTTTCATAAATCAGACGTAAAAATGGCAAATTTCGTCAGATTCCGAATTTTTGCCATTGGGTCTAATGTAAAGCATGGCTACTTTCAGTCTCTTGGGAACACGATTTCCGTACCTCAGATTGAAAAACACTTCAAGAAGGATGATAGGAACTAGGGGGAGACATTGGTCTGGGCAGGCACCCTAGTGAGTCACCGGGGCTGAGCCCATCCCGAAGGACAGGCCGACCAGCCCCAAAGTACTCACTGCACCCGGCTACGGGGTGCGCTCCCTCGGGAGCAGCGGTGCCGCTCCAAGGGAGCAGCCCGCATGAGATAGTTGCCTGTCCAGCCCGGATGGGGTTGCGGCGTGGAGGAGAAGGATTTCTGTATCCTGAGGATAGAAGCACGGAACGGTGAAAAAAATGTATTTATATCGTTGTCTTATAGTTTCATGGGTGTAATTGACATAGACCGTTTAACCCTATTAGTGGCAGGCTCCTGGCTACCCCTATTAGTGGCAGGGGGGGGGCTGTTTACGACCTATGAAATAGACTCGTTATAATGCTCCTTTTTGCACCCAACATACATATTATAAAATTTATTAATTGACATGCATTCTTGTAGCTAATCAAAGCTTAGCAACTAGGTATTGCAGTAGCAAAATTTTCTATTTTTGTTTTGTTGGGTTAGGCCCTTTCGGTCCAATTAGACCATTTCAGAGCCGGAAGGATGATAGGAACTAGGGGGAGACATTGGTCTGGGCAGGCACCCTAGTGAGTGAATAATAACACTGCACCCTAGTAATTCCCTGATATCTCGAGATCTAACGGGCCGATTTTCAAAATTCAAACGGCATTCGATTTCGCTCAACGTGATCTACATTTCTAAAAAATAAAAATTAAAAATGTCAATAGGGGGTAGAGGGGGGTAAAAACGAGCAAATTGCAGATACATTTTAGACTGTTTATCACGGCCAGGTTTCTGAACCAATCTTAACGCAACTTTTGCCGATCGATAGAGAATGAACCAGGAATTCACATGGATCCTAAAAATATGCATTTTCAAAAATCATAGGCGGATACAGATCATTGAGATTGGGGGTACACAAAAAGTATAGTAAATAAGGTTTTTGTTGGTACTGTTTCTAAAAAGGGTGGCAATGGTCTTGTTATGTTACAATTTTCTTATGAGAGAACGACTACAATTGTATTGGTCATGCATAGGCGGTGTCAGGGCACCTATGTTGGGAGGTAAAACATAACCCCTCTTTTTTGGACGCCTGGATCCGCCTATTATAGCAAAAACGTGTCAAAAGAGGATGCACAATAACTTTGTATATGTTATCACATGATACCCTTAATTCACTGTTCGTAAAACTGGTGCATACAGTTATAATACATCAGCATCGTGATCTTCGCCCAAATGACTCGCTTCACGAATAGGACCCCCCCCCCCAATTCCCAGTGCTCTGGAGCCGCCCCTGGTAAAGTTATGAACTTGAAATTTTCAGGGAATGTGCCCAATTTAGTTTTAGGAAAAGTCGTAAAGTTTCAGCATCGTAGCTTCAGCGGTTTCGGAGATATTCCCGAAAAACCTGAGGGGTGGATGAAAACAACCCCCCCTGCCACTAATAGGGTTAACAAGGCCACATAATATTATGTTGCTAACATGCTTGTCATCTCTACCTGTTGGCAAAGTTGCCGTTGCCGTCGTTGTTGTAGTACTGGTTGACGATGCTGGCCGTCTTGTCGGCCTCGGCGGTCAGAGCCAGCAGAGTCACCAGGCAGAGCAGGCAGAGCACCTGCGCGATAGAGGGACCCTGGAACTGGAAACGGCACCACTACTGTTAACGCCAGACCCCTTGAGACCCTAATTTTTCGCGATTACTTTTAAATGCGTGAAGGAATTTCAACCAAGCTCAGGACATGGCCGTTTCAAGACAGGCCGAAACTTTTGCAATTTAGATATTTTATCGCCATTTCAATATTTCAGGCACTTGTCATTGACTCGTAATGTTAACTGTTTTTCCATCCTGGATAGAGGCTTTCTACGTCATATGACATTAGGCTCCGCCCACGACTGCGGCATTGACCCGTGCCCATCAGCGACCTCTGTACAAACGACACCCCTGCCATCTGTGAAGGACTATGAATTTCGCTGACGCTTCACGTGCTATGAGTCAATTGCAACAGACGGTCAAGTAAATGTTAGGCTCTTGTTGACTCTTGTATATAGGACCAAGAGGACCATCACTCCTCAACCTACTACTCAGTCGTGCTTCGAACAAACGTTAACGATTCCTAACAAATACGATTTTTGATGTAGGGTATCTGTGTGAAATACGAGCGAGCCGTATGATGTGAAGCTCAGGCAATTAACTTATTATTGCGTTGTTCGATGGTTGCATAGCGATGTCAATGACAAATCGGCAGCTACTTGGTGACATCCGACATCCCATTATCGCATTATCTGCAACGCCATAGGCTTTAAATACAGGTGAATATTTCCTAACCTTATGTCAGTTATATGCCATCTGCCCGTCATATGCAGCTTATAAAAAAAAATATCAGCGAACATATCAGCATTGTAGAAGCAGTGCGCATTGAGCATTTATGACTCCTTAGTCATCATGTCGCTCTCTGGGCACTGTCAGCCAAGACGCTACGCACAACTCCGCCGGCTTTCGGCACCGTTCGACCGTCCCCGCTCCCCGCCACAGCGAGAGTGACCGCGCGCCGGCCCGAAACCGCCGCAGGCCAAGACCACAGAGGCGGGGCTTAGCTGTGACGTCATAACGTATCACAGACTGACTGGTGATAGCCTCTACACACCGGATGAAAATCTTGCTCGAAATTTAACATTACGAGTCAATGACAAGTGCCTGAAATATTGAAATGGCGATAAAATATCTAAATTGTAAAAGTTTCGGCCTGTCTTGAAACGGCCATGTCCTGAGCTTGGTTGAAATTCCTTCACGCATTTAAAAGTAATCGCGAAAAATTAGGGTCTCAAGGGGTCTGGCGTTAACAGTAGGCTATCATTGGGTATAAAACGGACTGCTTGACAGAGCTGGCGCCTCATCCGCACCCGCGACCATACCAGCCGGGCAGCGCAATTCAGCCACCGCAGCTTACAGCTAGATGAGAACTGAACTCTAGCATTCATCGAGAATGTTTGAGGTGGCAGCAACAATAATTATACCAAACCAGTAAAACGCCTTTTGGGCGAAGAACGAGCGAGCGACATAGTGAGCCCCGCACGTGCGGAAAGGCGAGAGGGTACTTCCAACGGGCTTATGCAAAGCACCCTTCTAACCGATCGCTATATAGCGGTGTGCCAAATTTGAACGCGATCGGCCCAGCCGTTCCTGAGATCTGGAAACGGCATTCTGCACGTGCGCACGTGCAAACGGGGTCCAAACTG